CTATAAACAAATAAGTTACTTTACTCTATAAATAACTAAGTTACTCTATAAACAAATAAGTTACTTTACTCTATAAATAACTAAGTTACTTTACTCTATAAATAACTAAGTTACTCTATAAACAAATAAGTTACTTTACTCTATAAACAACTAAGTTACCCTATAAACAACTAAGTTACTTTACTTTATAAACAACTAAGTTACTTTATAAACAACTAAGTTACTTTACTCTATAAATAACCAAGTTACTCTATAAATACCTAAGTTACTTTACTCTATAAATAACTAAGTTACTTTACTCTATAAATAACTAAGTTACTCTATAAATAACTAAGTTACTCTATAAACAACTAAGTTACCTTATAAACAACTAAGTTACTTTACTTTATAAATAACTAAGTTACTCTATAAACAACTGTATATGTTCTTTAGATTTATTTAACGTTGAAAGAATACTCTTCAATGAGTATTTTTCATTTTGGGTAATTTTTGTTTGAACAAACGTTCTACCTTACCTGGGAGTTTCTCAGAGTCAGAGTGGTCAAAGAAATAAACTATGGGGTTTTGAGTTCATTTTATTTCACTTTTAACATATATATACACACACACACAAAGAAGTAAACTGTTCTGATGAATCAATTAGCATTCTGAACTGTTTAGGAACTCAAACAATTTCTCTTTAGTTTAATCCTACGTTTTCTTACTGAAAAACACCAGTAAATTCATGGTCTCTCAAGAAGCTGCAGGATAGGTGAACAGTAATAAGTGTTTAATCTTTACACATGCTGAACATTTTTGGATATATCTCTCCCCCGGTTTAATAGCTGTTACTTATTGTTCTTACAATTGTTTCTTTCAAGTGTATTGCAATATTTAACTTTCTGTCCATCATTCTAGCCAGTAAGTATAAATAGATATGCTTCCCACTATAAAGAACAAATTTTTCATGAACTAGGAATGTGGAATTAGTCTTGTGAACACTATGGTTTGACAAAGTTTTACACAAAGTAAATATTTTTTGGTACTTGTACCCCCCCTACCCTCCTCCAAAATACAAACTTGCACCTGATTGGTCCGCTATTTAAGTGTTGTTAAGAAAAATGAAATAAAATAAGATAATAACAGACTGTTAATCTGTAATGTATTTTTGTAATTTATTACACCATCATTCAAATATTCACGAGCTCCTCCCCACCAGTTTAAAACCAATGTTTAACACTAATGTAGGAAAGTTTGACATGCTCCTCACCACCAGTTTAAAACTAGTGTTTATACTAATGTAGGAAAGTTTGACATGCTCCTCTCCACCAGTTTAAAACCAATGTTTAACACTAATGTAGGAAAGTTTGACATGCTCCTCACCACCGGTTTAAAACCAATGTTTAACACTAATGTAGGAAAGTTTGACATGCTCCTCACCACCAGTTTAAAACCAATGTTTAACACTAATGTAGGAAAGTTTGACATGCTCCTCACCACCAGTTTAAAACCAATGTTTAACACTAATGTAGGAAA